GTCATTCGACCGATACTCATGAAAACGCCCTATGAACTATACAAAGGGAGAAAGCCAAACCTTTCCCATCTTCGAGTCTTTGGTTGCAAATGTTTTATTCATAACAATGGTAAAGACAATTTAGGCAAATTTGATGCTAAGTCGGATGAAGGAATTTTTCTGGGTTACTCATTACGTAGCAAGGCCTATAGAGTCTTCAATAAACGCACCTTGACTATTGAGGAGTCTCCTCACGTTGTATTTTCCGAAGATAACCCTCGCTTGGCGAGAAAGGATATTTGTGATGATCTTGCAGATTCATTAGAGAGAATACACGTTGATGACGATGAGGAGAACACGGGTATTTACACCAACCCGCAACCACAATCTGAGGAAACACCTCAAGTGATGGTCGAAAATGAGGACCAAGCGGACGGAGAAGATCAAGAGGAAGCCCAGGAACAAGAGGAAACCGAGCTTCCCATCGCTCGGAGAATACACAGGAACCATCCACTTGACCAGGTAATCGGCAGCATCAACCGCGGGGTAAGTACTCTTAACTCTCTTAGGGACACCGTAGGACACATGGCCTTTGTATCTCAAATTGAACCTACAACCATTTTCGAAGCAATAAACGATGAACATTGGACCTTGGCTATGCAAGAGGAGCTAAACCAATTCAAACGGAATGACGTTTGGGAATTGGTGCCAAGGCCCGATGATCGTACGATTATTGGTACGAAATGGGTGTTCCGTAACAAACTTGATGAAAATGGAATAATCACTAGAAACAAAGCTAGCCTCGTAGCTAAAGGCTACAATCAAGAAGAAGGCATTGATTTCGAAGAAACTTATGCACGTGTAGCACGTTTAGAAGCTATTCGTTTACTTCTTGCTTTTGCTTCGTCTATGGATTTTAAACTTTATCAAATGGATGTTAAGAGTGCCTTCCTCAATGGTTTTATTCAAGAGGAAGTGTATGTTGACCAGCCCCCGAGGTTTGAGGACTTTGAGTTTCCCGATCACGTCTTCAAACTCAAGAAAGCGCTCTACGGTCTTAAACAAGCACCACGCGCTTGGTACGAACGTTTGAGTAAATTTCTTTTGGATAGTGGTTTCCAAAGGGGAAAGTTTGACACTACACTTTTTATCAAGAGTAAAAACAATAACATCCTTTTGGTTCAAGTTTATGTAGACGACATTATATTCGGTGCTACTAACGAGTCTTTGTGCAAGGAATTCTCAACGTTAATGACAAGTGAATTTGAGATGTCCATGATGGGTGAGCTTACATTCTTTTTGGGACTCCAAGTCAAGCAAATGAAAGATGGCACATTCATTTGCCAAACCAAATACTGCAAGGAGCTCCTAAAACGATTCGAAATGGAAAACGCCAAAGCCATGGCAACCCCGATGAGCACGTCCGACCATCTGGACAAAGACGAAAAAGGTAAGGAAGTTGAGGT